TTCCTCGAAGTATTCTACCCATCTGTTTCGCTGTTGTTGAATTTCAGTGATTGGCTTGCCTTCTTTGTCTTTGACCGGCCTCTCTGGTTTACTGTATTTCCCTGATAGTTTCTTCGTTGTATCGTAGAGCTGTTTCATATTTCCTTCTCCAGCAGCTTTTTCTGCCGTCGTTGCTAATTCTTCCACGTATTTCTTCCTGTCGGCTCTAATGCTCCTCTTCACTTGCTTGTTTGCTTCTATGTATTCAGCTTGTGCTTGGACTTTCTCTGCTCGTGTTCGGCTGTTGTTAATTGCTGTCTTCTTGTTCTTCCTTTCTTTGATCTTGTCCATTGTTTCTATAGAGATCCATTCCTTATGATGGTATTTCTTTAGACCGAGAACCTCTTGACACGTTGAAGTTAATGCTTCCTTGATGCCTTTCCAGTTGTCCTCCATGGTAGTTTCTTCTTCCTTCAGTAGATCTTGAAAGGCTTGGAACCTGTTGTTGAGAGCTATCTTGAATTCATTGAGTTTGTCAGTATCTCGAAGGAAGGCTGTATTGAACCTTTGTAGTGCTGTTTGTCCACTTGTCCAGTACTTTTTTAGCTTCAGTTTTAAATTGGCTACAACTAGGTGGTGATCTGAAGCTACGTCAGCACCTCTCCTGGTTCTCACATCTTCCATTGTCCTTCGGAATTTTTTGTTGATGCAAATATGGTCTATCTGGTTCTCTGTGGTGTGGTCCGGTGAGATCCAGGTAGCCTTGTGTATACGTTTGTGTGGAAATATTGTGCCTCCTATGACTAATTTGTTGAATGCACACAAATTTGCAAATCTTTCTCCATTTTCGTTCCTCTCTCCCAGTCCATGTCGTCCCATAATATCTTCATATCCAGTGTTGTCTATTCCGACCTTGGCATTTAGATCTCCCATCAGAATGGTGAGGTCCTTTCTTGAGCATTTCTCTATGATTGACTGCAGCCAGCTCGTAGAATTGATCTTTAATGTCGTCGTTGCTATCCCAAACAAAACAAACTATAAAGTAAATTGAATAAGAAAATTGTATCAAAATGTATTTATTTGTTCTTAAGTTAATTATTTTGAATATATTCGTTTAATTGTGCTTCTGTGTAATTTTATTTTGATCTTTCATTTCAGTTAATACTTATTTGTACACATAAACTTACTTACTTACTTGCTTACTTACTTTACTTTACTGACTAACACCTGTTATTCCCAGCAGACCATAGGCCACCGACCAGCATTCTCCAACCCACTCTGTGCTGGGCCTTCTTTTCTAGTTCCATTCAGTTCTTGTTCATTTTTTTCATGCATATTTCTATTTTCCGGCGTAATGTGTTCTTTGGCCTTCCTCTTCTCCTTTGGTCTTGAGGATTCCAAGTAGGGGCTTGCATTGTAACACAGTTGAGTGCTTTCCTCAATGTACGACCCCGCTACACGGGATTCGGACCCAGGATCTAGAGGTCTGGAGTCGGACGCCTAATCTCCAGACTATTGAGCCGGCATCCAACGGTGTTAATGTCTAACTTCAATCAATTTTAGTGAGGAGCCGTGGCTAGTAGAGTTCAATCAGGTTTGTTGTGAGATAGTAACTCACTGACGACAATAGTGGATGGAGGCGCAATCTTGTGAATTGATCGAAGTTAGACATTAATATCGTTGGATGCCGGTTCAGTGGTCGGGAGCTTAAACGTTTGCGCACGGGACCGAAGGTCCTGGGTTCGGGTACCGCGGGGCGGGATCATGGATGCGCACTGTTGAGGAGTCCCATACTAGGATAAAACGGCCGTCCAGTGCTTCCATGTTTTTCATTCTGATCTAACTTTAGTCGATTCATGAATTCAAATGCGAAATAAATTAACTGTCTATTTTTTGGTGAGAGGAACATAATTAGTTAATTGAATGATCCACAACATTAATCACTATAATAACATTAAAGTATTATTATTAATAATTAATTAGCTTTTTTATGATAGAAATATGGATTGCTTGAACAGAGTCATATTATTCACATGTTATTATCAAGTATAGATTATTAAACTGGCCAGAGTTACGTATAATTGTAGACGAGAACAAGCATTAGTATCGTACAAAATAAATTGTAAAAAACTGAGTAATTATACATTAAAATGTTATATTTCATTGTTTCCTGTTATCATCGACTTCATTTAATGAAATCAATTAAATAAATCAGTCATATTTTATATTTAGAGTTGATATTTTTATTTTAGTAATCATTTATGAGAAATGAAGTAAATTCCCGCATGAAGCAATGAATGCTCTACAATCAAACCATCCTGCTCAGAGGATGAATCTTTACCATGAACTAAAATAAGACAGCTGTCTTTTGACACAAAATGCCTTTTACTTCTCACTCTGGTATCAAATTATGATAAGAATTACTTTCAGATCAATAATAGTACATACCCAGTGGTTGAAGTGTGGGTATTCAAATACAAAATGGCGTTATTTTATTGTTGTACAATCGTAAATCTATTCATGAAAAAGGAATATTCATACGGTTGAAATGTTTCAAATGAGTTGGAAGTCAATAATTATCAACTGTTCACATCATCTGGAAACGATGAAATACATTACTACATGTCCGATTCCTATATCCACTTGTAACACGTCTAGGATTATTGCCGGTTCCAAGCTCACACAAAAGAGTTGAGTTGAGTATGGTTTCATCAACCCCATCTAGTAGAAAACAACACTTCTAAAAAAGCTAACTAGAATAAACAAATCAAACCATTTAAAATCTGTCCTCCGAGTTGAACAATCCTTCAGAAGAATTATGACGCGTCATGGTGAAAGTCAACACACTTCGAAAGTGACGAGATCTGTGCCCCTTCTAGCAACCAGAGAAACAATTGATATAGGTACACGGAATGTCCAGACAATGTGGGAGACCGGAAGGACTAATCGAATAGCCACGGGTATTCGGAGCTACAACTTGACAGTGCTCGGTATCAGTGAAACCCATTAGACTCAAGCTCGACAGAGAAAGATATATTCAGGAGAGATGCCTTTGTACTCCAGTCACGAAGAAACAGCTGCTCCACACACTCGAGTAGTTACTTTGATGTTGTCCAATGAATTATCTAATGCACTTATACGATGGGAATCCGACTGATCCAGGATAATCAAATCGTCGTTCAAAACGAAGAAGGAGGGAATCACGATAAATGTTATCCAATGTTACTTACTTACTTACGCCTGTTACTCCCAATGGAGCATAGGCCGCTGACCAGCATTCTCCAACCCAATCTGTACTGGGCCTTCTTTTCTAGTTCCATCCAATTCTTGTTCATTTTTCTCATGTCTATTTCCACTTCCCGGCGTAATGTGTTCCTTGTTCTTCCTCTTTTCCTTTGGCTTTGAGGATTCCATGTGAGGGCTTGTCTTGTGCCGCAGTTGAGTGCTTTCCTCAATGTGTGTCCTATCCACTTCCAGCGCTTCTTCCTGATTTCTTCTTCCACTGGGATCTGGTTTGTTCTCTCCCACAGTAGGTTGTTGCTACTAGTGTCTGGCCAACGGATCCGAAGTATTTTGCAAACTGTAAACATTAAACAAATTAAATATTACAAATGAACTGACTATCACTGTGTCACTCATTCTTTTTCAAATCAAAAAGTGTTTAAATTATGTAATTAATTACTGAGATTGTTGATTTTTTATAATTATTGATCTGGATAACTGTTTTGTATATAATTCTAAGTAAATGAATTTTTGACTAGTGAATAGATCAGATTTATTCCAACATATCTCATTTAGTTATCAAATTGTTCTATATATACCTGAAAGTTCCTATTCAATTATTCTTCTTACATCAGTTGTGAGGTAGTAACTCACTGATGACAATGGTGGATGTGTCGCTCAATTTCTTGGATAAGTTGAAGTTAGACATTAACATTGTTAGATGACGGCTCATTGGTCATGTTGATTAAGCGCCTGGCGCGAGACCAATAAATCCTGGGTTCGAACTTCGCGAGGCGGGGTCGTGGATACACACTGCTGGGGAGTCCCACAATAGGATGAAACAGCTCTCCAGTGCTTTCAGGTTTTCTATGGTATTCTAGCTTCAACTGACTCATGATCTTAACTGTTTACATCAATTTTGTTATTTTACTAAATTTAAGAATTAATTTAGTGAAAAATTTCATTGGTTTCCAAGTAATTGTTATTATTTCAAATGTTATAGTTGTTTTATCAGTTTAGGTGTTGTGGAGATCGTTAAGTTTTTGATAAAAATCATGAGTCATTTGAAGCTAGATCACCATGGAAAACCTGAAAGCACTGGACAGCCGTTTCGTCCTAGTATGGGACTCCTCAGCAGTATGCATCCACGATCCCGCACCCCACGAAATTCGAACCCAGGACGTATCAGTTTCGTGCCAGGCGCTTAATCAACTAGACCACTGAGCCAGTATCCAATGGTGTTAATGTCTAACTTCAACCAATCCACGAAATTGCACGACCATCTTACGTTGTACTGAAGTAGACACCTGTTTCTACCCGACACGCGTTAGCTCCACTGGTCACGGCTTCTCACCAGAATTCCGAGAATTTTCTCACGAAGCTAGTCACTAATGAGCAAATAGTTGTTTTAACATGGGATTCATTAGATGCTTCATTTCAGGTTTAATACTAATGACAGTAACTATTTAAGTGACGTTAAGTCCAATCTAGATTTTTTCCTAAACTATTTTCAATAAGGGTAGGGATAGTTTGCTTTATTTTAGAATGGCTTATAGTTTTTCTACAAACTAGGTTTTGTAAACAACTTTTCACTTTATAAGTGTCCAATAACCGGAACTTCATATAGCTGATTTTGTATCCTTTCTTTATTCTTTGATTGTATCATATGATACGTTTATGACTGTTGTATTTCAACTAATAAAAACAAAGATATCTGACCAACCAATCAGTAACTTACTAGACGAATATATCAATATATAAAGGTAAATTTTAGGAAGAAGTGAGTCAGACAATTGGCTTAACTGGGGAAGTTTATTCACTTGAAATTTGAAAATATTCAAGATATGAAAACTAGTGATATGAGGGGAGCTTTTGCTTTCTATGGAAGTATTCTAGCCTTCAAAACTCTAATTCTTGCAGGGGTTACAATTATCAAGCGCTTGCAAAACAAGGTAAAGATATTATTTCTTAATTTATTCATAATCTAATCTTTAATTAGTCTTTCTGTAAAGACCAACCACATCCTGAAGTACAATCTATACAGAGGTAATTTTAATACTTTCTTTTAAAATAACTAACAATTCAAGATGTCATTCAAATGATTTAGAAAATTTGGTACCATTTCTATTTCTTGGTCTACTTTACTGTAGTACAGATGCACCAGCTACAGTTGGATTATGGCATTTTAGAATTTTTGCACTAGCTCGAATATTACATACACCAGCTTATTTATTTACAGATGGAAGATTTCCTAGAGGATTGATATTTCTTATTGGTTATCTTATCAATATTTCATTAGCATTAAAATGTATTACATATTTTTCTGAAACATGGTAAACATTAATGGTTAGACGATTTACCTCAGGGAAATTTTGTATTTCGTTGCTTTTTCTATTGTTTTTTTTCTTTCTTTAATAATATGTTCATGTTTATTGATTTCGTTTGTTAATTCTAAAGTCTATTTTACGTTCCTAGTTAATTATTGCACTGTGGCGGATAATATAAACATATTATTATTACCATTATTATTATTATTATTATTATTATTATTATTATTATTATTATTATTATTATTATTATTATTATTATTATTATTATTATTATTGTCATCATTATTACTTGGTATTAATCGACTTGTAATATTCTTATTTCTTATAAGTAATGCAATAATTTTTAAAAATATTTTGGGGTTACGTAACATATTTTATTAAACACGTACAATTCAATGTATTATTTGGCGAAAGGTTATATTAATCATTGCAGAAAACATCCGTGATGATGTTTTAACTGCAGTTGAATCGACAACTGCATCTCTGTGCTAATGGGGTGTGACAACTCGAACTGATGTACGTACGTACGTACGTACTTCTACATTGTTACTGACTGACTGACTGAACTGCCTACAAGATTTAAATGGAATACCCTATACGTACATATTTTATTCAGTAATACTATTCTTTTTTATCTAGTTATATTATTATTATAAAACTAATATAGAGAAATAGTGGAATAAGAACTTGAAGAATAATATATGATTTTATGTTTGCATTCTTACGAGGGCCATGACAAATTAAAGACAGAATAGGAATTAGAAATGGACTAAGAAACTAAGAAATAACATGACATTAACGATGATATAGAAAGCATGAAAATACTGTAATGAACGAAGAATTGGTTAAAACAAACTGATTTATCCTAATTCACCTACTGAATTTGTAAAGCACATACGAAAGAAACGTCGAATATATCGTTTTTATATCTTACTTAAATTGTTGTTGACTCCATCGTTTTTTCATTCATGGTAATATATTGCTTACATCAGACTTTGTTCCTCCACACATTACTTTTCTCTCCTGTCAGTAGGAATCTTAATACTAAATCCTAGTAATTATTACTTAAATATAGCCATATATGTAGCACATGCCACAATATATGTTCTAAAACAAAAAGCCAGTTACTGAACCATCGTGCATTAGTTGCTTGCCCACTCAGATAAATAGATTTTCACTGAAATCACAAACAGATTCAATTTACACAATCACAGAAAACCTGTAAGCACTGGATAAACGTTCCTTCTCAGTATGGGGGTCTTCAGAAACATCATGAGTAGTTAAGAGTTAAATTTATAAACCGTTGGATTCGGAATCAGTTGTCCATAGTTTAAGTGCTCAAGCAAGAAAAAAAGGATTCTAGGTTTAATGCCTGCGTGCAGGATCGTCTATGCACAGTGCAGAAGCGTCTCATGCTAGTACGAAATGGCAGTTCAGTGCTTCCAGGTATTCAATAATTATCTACTTTAGATTGGTTCGTAATTTTAATGAAATTCAACAAACTCCCCAACCCCATTATGACGTTGAGGTTTTCGATCATACTTTTCTTGCCTTTCGGTTTTTTGAAGCATTTACCATGATATATAAAATTTATTCTTTAAATAAACCGAAGCTCATATTGGCTACAAAATAAGTGGTTAGTTTAATCCAAGCTAAATATATACAGATGTTTCATAGCGCATAAATATGAATAAAAATGTTTTTAATTCGGAATTCATAAAATTGTAGTATATCAGAACAGGTTTGGAAAGGGTTACATTTTTGGAACTATCGTACTGGAAAACATCATTTATGTATACCTAATAAATATTTTAATATTTTTCGTATTGCACGCTTCGGGATAACGCCTAAACTCTTGTTATACATTTTACCTTCTGATGTATGATAGTGGAAGTAAGATCATATTGGTCGCTGAGCTTGGATAAACGGGTACTTAGGCTACGGTATATTAAATATGTGATTTCCTTTCTTCTCATTGATTTCTACTCCGAACTCACTTTAAGTGACTGCTTGTAATTTTGCTGAATAAAGTATTATCTAATCCATACTTTAGTTCGTTTTTATGGGTCGTGAATTCTGGATCTGAAATAACGTGACTAGTCTCATTATCATATCAATGTATTATTGAATTATAAGTGAGAGAAACATATATTTTAAACCGTCCGTTATATCACCTTTCTTGTGTTATTATTAATTAACTATGGACTTATTATTGAGTTTTCCTTCACTTGCTGCAGTCATGTACATATTGTGATTTTTTATTATTCTACTGCGCGTTCAGTTAGTTAATCACACAAGCTTATAGTTATAATGAGTACAGTTATAATAGAAGCCTTATCTCTTTTCTGAATTCGTATCCTGATTCCCTACTATGCTGAAGAGGAGCTGCATTCTAGAACAATAAGAATGAGAGATATTGTTGTACAAGGTTGTACGTTATAAGTCCAAACAGATCGAAATTGATATAGGCTATCCAATAGATATAATTCATATTCATCTAAAGCATTTGACTGGAGGATATATCAGAAGTCACAAAGAACTAACCAATATATTTTCCCTTAACGTTTGAAATGTATTAATTATACATTAATTGTTTGCTTGTCCGTGTAGTTACATAAGTGTAAGTACTCGTAGACATTAGTAGCATAGTTTATTGCAGTATAGTAAAATAAAAAGCAAAGCATAATATGGTAATAAATCAATTCAAACTGGAATATGAACTTAATTAACATAATGTCTATAATATTGGCTATTTTAGAGGTTTGAGATTTAGATCGGAATCTCCCAGCGAAATCACTCAGCTATAGAAATTAAATGCAAGCTTCAGGCATGAAATTGAACACAAACAGGTACGGTAAACAAAGGTTATTCTTGTAGTATGGATCGATTCAAATGAGTTGGTTGAAAGAAAGTAGTGAATTTCTCATGCATGTGCATAGTAAGGATGAAAGGTGGAAATCAAATATTGGAAAATAAATGTTTCATAAGGAGATACGATCGATGAAACGATGTGATGAGTATTTGTAATGTGAATCTTCAGACTTCAAGAAACTAGTTTATCTAACCTTCAACCTCAATATGAACTCTCCATTATTATTACTGCTTACTGTTACTGTTATGTTAAGGTGAATTTCAAACTAAATTATTTATGTAGTTACTTTTATCTAATTAAAAATGTAGAAGTAGTGAAGATATGCAAATTGTTTGTGTAGCAAGTTGTGCTACTTAAATATTTAAGTAGTAGTAAAGATTGCAAAATAAAAGTGTTTCATACAGTCACCTGTTTTCGGCCGATCTTCATATATGTTTAAACTTGATTTCTATAACTGATTGACGATTTCGGTGGAAGATTCCGATCTAAATCTCAAACCTCTAAAATAGCCAATATTATAGACATTATGTTAATTAAGTTCATATTCCAGATTGAATTGATTTATTACCATATAATACTTTGCTTTATATCTTACTATACTGCAATAAACTATGCTACTAATGTCTACGAGTACTTACACTTATGTAGCTACACTGACAAACAAATAGTTGATATACAATTAACACACAAATGAAGATAAAGTTGTCACAGCAAGAGATTTTTCAAACGCAGGAATCTCACACCATATAATCGAGTGTCAGCAAAAATGAATTGTGTATATGATCTACCGAAATCTAACTCATAATGCTTACGCAAATATTTATACATTGATGTAAAAAAAATCCTATGATCACACTGTAGTTGGGTACTTCATCAGACACTACTTTAGTTTCTCGCAAAACACGACACTATCTTGTTTGTCCTATCATCCAACCTACCGTCGATTGCACCAGGTACCTGAATTTTTGAATTATCATATGTATTGTCAAATATAATGATCTGACAATGAAACCTAGATCTCATGTTACTGACAAGTCTTTTAACCTTTTTGGTCTTGACTCGTTCACATATTTAAAATATTTCGATTGGCAATTCATTTTTATTTGTAATCAAGTATCTCCTTCAACTCTCCAGCAACCTCCGTATCCTCATATGATTGACTGACTTAAACAGAAGTTTCCCATTATTTTTCAAAATGATCTTGGTTGCTGTACGAAATTAAACGTTTAGATATTTTTGAAACCAGAACCATACCTACCTTCGACTGAAACGCTCAGTTTCTTATGCAGCACACTTTCTTGTAGACAAAGAATTAGAAGGAGTGAAAGCTTTGGGTGTTTTCAAACCAGTTGATAATTCACCATAGGCATAGTAAGTCATGACAGTAAAAAAATCAAATGGTAATATTCGAATAGGTGTTGATTTTTCGACTGTACCCAACGACTTATTTGATTCATACCAGTATCTCCTTCCTACTCCAGATCATCTTTTTGCACAACTGAATGGAGCAGATCTTTGGGAAATATTGACTTCGTTGATGAATATCTACAGATAGAAGTAGAAAAAGCATTCAGAAATCTAGTTGCCAATAACACACATTAAGGCATCTATCATTATATTCGCCTCCCGTTTAAAGTCAAGACAGCTCCGAAAATATTTCAGCAAATTATGGATGCAATGCTTACGGACGTCCCGGGTACCTTGGTTTAAGTGGGTGATACTATCGTTTTTGGCACAAACCAGAAAAATTATTTGACCATTTGGATATGGTTTTGAATCGAATTAAAAAATTTTCCAAAACGTAACAGGAGAATTGTAATTTCTTCACGATTTCAACCAAATATATGGGACTTATTGTCGATCTCTTCGGAAGTTACCCTGGTCCGGAAAATATTGAAGCCATAAAGCAAATGCCACCACCATTTAAGCTCAACTCCCAGAGATCATTCCTGGGGTTAGTAAACCATCATGCCTTATTCCTTCCATCTACGCATCAGCATCGTACGCCTCCAAATGAACTTCTGAGTAGAGAGTTGAAATGGAACTGCTCTCTTCAATATCAAAAAGACTTTAATAATATCAAGAAAACCTTGTCATTAGATAAGCTGTTTACACATTCCAACCAAAACCTGAAGGTAGTCATTGTCTCCAATGCATCGAACTATCGACTAGTTGTTATTTCACACATTTTCCCAGTTGATTCGCAGAAGACTATTGGACATGCATCCAGAACGCCATATTATTTCGAGAGAAATCACAGTCAAATAGAAAAAGGGACTCTAGCAGTTATCTTTGATGTCAAAAAGTTTCATACGATGATCTATGGACGGAATTTCACTTTCTAAACAAACCATAAACACTTATCAATTTTCAGTTCAAAGAAAGGCATCTCAATGTATACCGCAAATCTCTGGAAGAGGTAGGCTACATTCCTTCTCGGTTATGATTTTGCTGTCAAATACGTGTCAACGACCATTCTTAGATAGGCTAATGCATTAT